GATCCCAAACAAACCACCAGCTGACTGGTTTAAATCTCTGGACTCCTCAATTACTAAATTCCTTTGGCAGGATAAACCTCCACGAATTAGCTTAAAAATGCTTCAGAAGACCAAAGACAGAGGAGGACTGGATTTACCCAACTTTTATTATTATTTCTTAGCCAACAGGCTGCAATATATACCAAGATGGTTGCAAGATAACCCACTAGGTTAGTCCTGGTTGGATATAGAACAGACACTTTGCAATACGATAGAGCTTTCAGGCTTACCATTTATTAGCTCAAGCATAAGAAAACCTGAAAGCTTCAAAAGTATTAGTATCAGCACCTCTCTGACAGCATGGTGGGAGTATCTTAAAATGACAGAGTCTTCACTAGTACCATGCAGACGCACACCTATCTGGAACAATCCTGACATTTTGCAAAACAACAAAATGATGAACCTTCCGGACTGGAAAAATAAAGAAATCCTATACCTGGAACACATATATGAAGGATTGGACTTCATTCCATTTAATCAAATAGTCTCCCAATTTGGAATAGATAAGAATAGCTTTTTAGAATATCACCAAATTAAATCTGTAGTCAAACAAAAATTTAAGCTCAGTAAAGTAGAATTACAAACACCACCAAGGGTATTAGACTTTTATAATCTCAAACCCCCCAAACTACTGTCTAAAGTATATAAGACACTGTCCAAAATAGACGATAAAATTGCAATCCCTATTGAAAAATGGGAGGTGGATCTATCAGTCAGCTTTGACCAGGACTTCTGGTCCCAAACTTGTTTAAAAACTTTTTAAATGATCAGACACCCCAATTTACAATTAATTCAGTACAAAATTCTACACAGGGTACACTATACAGGTCATCGGATGTTCAAGATGGGGTTTGTGTCGTCTGACACCTGTACACACTGCACAAACAACATTCCTGACAATTACATTCATGCACTGTGGTCCTGCCCACCTGTCCAGGAATTTTGGGGTAGAGTATGTGAAGACCTGTCAAAGTGTCTGAAATGTCATATCCCAACTTCCCCCTCTCTTTGTTTACTGGGAAACCTGGACGATGTCCCGATTGAAACATCTTTGGTTCACGTGGTTCTGACTGCCATATGCATCGCTAAGAAAACTATCCTCTTGAATTGGAAAAATAGAGAAACTCTCTGCATTAACCAGTATAGAAATCTTTTGTTAGATCATATTGCACTTGATACAGCCTCTGCTTCCACCTCAGATGAATCTCTCTGGGCTCCCTTGATCGGTTCCATCACATAGCGAGGGTGGGGGGCCATTGATGTTGTCCTACGGGATGGTGTGGGTGGGTGGGGGTCTGAGTTTGGAGTATCCGGATGTTCCCTGGAGGTGGGTTCACTGGGGGTGTCTGGGACTAGGGGGCCGTTGCCCCTCTCTGGAGGTGCTTGGGTTGCCTCGGGGGGTGGGCTGCTGGCAGTTGTGAGTGGGGCCCCTTGGGGGGCTTGGCGGCGGCCATGGGTAACTGCCTGGCGGCTGCAATGCCCCTAGTCGGGTCGGGGTGGGGGCCTGGGGGCTCGGGGTTTGGGGGTGGCCGGCCCCGTGTGGGGATCTGGGCGGGGCCTTGGGGGTCGGGTCCTGACATGTATGCTGCCGGGAAGAAGGCAGGAACACGCAGCAGTGCCTGGCCCGGGTTCGGGGGCCTCAGGTAGACCTTGGCTCCTCTGCCGTTCCATCACAGGGGAAGGGGAGGTTCAGGAGGGGGAGGACCCAACCTTACCTGGATGTCCCATGTCTTATATATTCTGGAAGTTGTGCAAATGCAGGGATGGGCATACATATTCTGCTGGGGTGGGGCTGGGTTGGTGCCCTTGGACTCTGTGAGGCTCTGTAATGCTGCTGCTTTGGGCCCTGGCAGGATGGGCTGGGGTCTCCATGCCCTGGGTGGCGGTTTGGCAACAGAGGTGCCTATTGGGGCCAGCAGGGGAGCTGGCTCCCTGGAGGGCTAAGCCCAGCCAGCCATTCCTCCCCATCCCCGCATATTTCTCTCCTCCTGCTCCCTCACATCATCACACAAACATACACATAGGACCTTGGGGGTTGGGCAAGTCAGGGAGTGTGGGTATGGACCCCATTTCCGCATTCCTGTGGAAACCTGCCCCCCAATTTTATTTGCACCTTATACACTTCCACTGACGACATTCCACACAAACACTCACTTAGGGCCTTGGGAGTGAGCACATTCAACGGCATTTGGCAGGGGGGATATTTCAGCCTCCTCCCGAGTGCCGGTGCCCACTTCTAATTTTAAACCGCACTTAGACACTGATGGCTGAGGGTGTAAGTGGGGTGGTGCGGTGGCACCAGCTGGCATAGGCCGGATGATGCCCGCACTGTCCACTCACCACAGCCATGGAATACACCTCATGATCACACAACACTATATTGGAGCAGGTGGAGGGAGACTAGGGGTCTTAGCCACCTTTGTTGTTGCTAGGCCTCCTGGGGCTGGAGGCTAGGAGGGAGATCTGGCCGTCTGGTTGGGGTTTGGGGTGGTGGGTTGCTGTGCTCAGCGTTGGGCGGGGGAGCCTGCTCATCAGCACTCCAGCAGAAAGGGTCAAACTCTGGTTACCGGTGATGGTTGTACCCAGTGTGCAGCAGTACCGGGACCAGAGTGAATAGGGTGTGTATGGGGAGCATGAGTGGGTGTCCGGCGTGCATTTTTGTAAGTCTTGGGTTGTATGTGCATGTGTGAGCATGAGGGAGGGAGTGTGTGACTGTGTCTGTGTATGATTGTATATGTCAGGTGGGGCCTTTGACTCCTCCCCTCTCCTGGAACTTCTCTTGATGATATAGATCTTTGTCCCCCCTCCCCCTGCCACACCTGGTGTGAGGGGTTGTGCCATGGTCTGCCTGAGTGTTCGTGGCAACCGGGTCTGGGGGTTTAAGTTTCAGGCATCTGCCTGATAGATCCCGGTGGCTGCCTGGTGGGGTCTGGGTCCCTGGGCTCTGCTGGGTCCCCGGCGGGGGTGGTCGCCCCTGGGTCCCGGGTCGCTGGGTCCCGGGCTCGGCCGGCTAGGGGGTGGGAGGCTGCAGGCGGGCCTGTGGGCTTGCCGCTGATGTCTCCCGGGACTCTGCCGGCTGCTGGTTGTGGCCCCCCGGGGCAATCCTCTGTGCCTCTCGGGGGGTGCGGGGGCCTTCCTGGTTGCAGTCTCCTTGGGGTTCCTGTGTTCTGGGGCAGCGCCTGGATCTCTGGGACTTGGAGCTCCCCTGTCTCCTGCGCATCTTTGGGGGGTGGATCTGTGGTCCCTCACACTCTCTGTTGGACGCTCCTACAGAGAAACCTTAAATAAACAAGCGCGTGTACACACACAGGTGCTCACATGGTGCTCTCAAAAGTATGGGCTTGGGAATGTTAAACACAGGTCTTAAGACTATGGTGGGCACTTAATGCACTGTGATTTATTATCGTGATTCTTCAGTTAAGCAATGTTGATTATATATTTTCTTCATCAAGTTGACGCAGTGATAGCTAGATCTTGTTGTATTGTTGTTGTGTCCCTTTTTTTTTTTTTTGTCTTTTTCTGCAGGTCTAGAAGCAGACTCTTGTTCATTAATTTTTGTGGAACACCCCCCCCCCCCCCCCTCTCTCTCCCCACCTTTTCTTTTCCTTTCTCTTTCACCTCTGTCTCCGTGTCTGGTCGGAATTACAATGCATTCAACAACAATAAAAATAAAGTTTTAAGTTTCAGGCGTGACATTAAAAGCAAACACTTTGATGCTCCACCTGAGAGTAAATCTGTAAGGCCTGTCACCAGCATTCCGACATCAATTCTGCTTGCTTCACAGCAAGCATATGCGGCTTATATTGAGGTGCGCTCTATAGTCTGGAAATTACGGTGTCGGTACAGGATCGGCTCGGGGTCCTTCAACTGCCGATGACGTCAAAGTAGCTGATTGGCTGAACATGAAGCTTACGGAAGTTACACTATCACGTTATGATTTTGGTCAGAACAAATTTGCAGTTGTAGTCTTAGCGGTTGTAGTCCTGTAGTCCAAAAATCAACACTTTTTGGAGAAAATATGTTTGCATTTCTAAAGGAAATGTAAAATATAAGCAAATGATAAACGGTGACCCTCAAAAGCTCTTGATGCTGATGAAATGGGGCAAAATAAAATATAAGAACTTTATTGAAAGACACCAAGCAATATATTGAGTCAAAGAATGTATTTAGATAACAACTAAGGAAATATACAGACGAACTCCACATTAATACAAACAGATATGGCTTCACATATAAGAACGGTTCTATTTTTTGTCAGTCCGATGTTGGTTTTATGCAGTTTCACATTCTTTACAAAACAAAGATAATATGGTGTTTTATTAACAAATTACTATTATAAAGAAAACATTTAGGTGTTAACAAACAAGAATTCATTAACAAAACTGCTGATGTCTTTCCAAAACGTATGCGTGAAAGACGAGTAGATTTGCAGTAATGTGACGTCATCGGCAGTCGAAGGACCCCGAGCTGATCCTGCACCCGAGCCGATCCTGTACCGACACCGGTATATTAGAATGTTCAAAGGCATTAAAACATTTTGAAGCTAGCTTGTTGAAGATTTGCCGTTGTAGCTTTATTGCAAAGCACTTCATCCTCAACCAATTCTGCCTTTCCAGGATTCACTGATTACCCTTTCTCATTCCTTTTATTTTTCCCTTTTTTTCTAAATCACAGTTTTTACTTTTCCCATCTTTATGATGTTTATTCATCATTTTTTTTATCATTTTTATTTTTAATTTCGTTCTTGCAAAACTCCTCGTGCTTTTTATCTGGAGGCGCTACATAAAAGATCATTTCTTCTTCTTCTTTGAGAGATGCTATGCTGACTATCTGTTGACTGACATTTCTAAACAATGTGCTAAAAATATTCCCAGAGTGTGTAATTTGTGTCTAATGAAGCATTGCTGTATGATGACATAATGGTGACTTAAGCTTGAATTGTTTTCTTCATATTCCCACAGCTGTTGCACGACTTCCCAGATGAACTGCGAGCAGACATTGCCATGCATCTGAACAAAGACATTCTGCAACTGCCTGTGTTTGAGCGAGCAAGCAGAGGGTGTCTGCGTTCCCTATCCCTACTCATCAAGACTTCCTTCTGTGCTCCAGGAGAATACCTCATTCGCCATGGAGATGCTCTGCATGCAAATTATTTTGTGTGTTCTGGCTCCCTTGAGGTTCTGAAAGATGGGATGGTCCAAGCTATTCTTGGTGAGAGTACACAAAATATCAAACATTTCCAGAGGTTTACTCAATTCTGTTTTAAAAATCTCTGATACACATTGAGGGTTGCCATCTGTCTGAATAACTAGGAAAAGGTGACCTCATAGGCGCCGACCTTCCAGAGCAGGAGCAGGTGATCAAGACGAATGCAGATGTGAAGGCTCTGACTTACTGTGACTTGCAGCACATCAGTGTCAAGGCTCTGAGGGAGGTCCTCCGACTGTATCCTGAGTACGGCAGTCGGTTCAGCTCTGACATCCACCACAACCTGACCTACAACCTTAGAGAGGGCAGCGAGGCTGATGTAAGGCCTTAAAGGCAGAACTTTCCTGTAAATCATACAGTACACAAAACAACGTACACACAACAAGAAGGTTTCCAGACACCCAGAGAGCCTCTGGTATGTTTACAGGTGCAGGTCATAAATTTAGAATATCATGACAACGTACAGTTATTTTAGTAATTACATTCAAAAAAGTGAAACTTGTATATTAGATTCATTTATTACACACAGACTCATCTTTATTATTTATTTACATTCATTATTATTTAGTTTATTTCAAAATAAATAAACAAATATGTCAGTCTAATTTTATGACCAGCACCTGTATGTGTTGCTAAAAATGGAATGAAAACTTTATTTGTCTGCCACAAAAATTGTTACAGAATTTCATCTTTCAACAGGTCTCATCACACACACACACACACACACACACACACACACACACACACGCACGCACGCGCACGCACGCACGCACGCACACACACGCACGCACGCACACGCACGCACGCACGCACACACACACACACACACACACGCACGCACGCACGCACGCACGCACGCACACACACACACACACACACACACACACACACACACACACCTTGGTATATCTGGCAGCCAGTTGAATTTGTGTTGATCTGATGAGATTAACTTTTGTAAACGGTGTTGTATTACAGTCATTTCTACCCTCCTTTTAGATGGAGAATGGCATGATGACACTCAAGTTAAACAGTAAAACTGTGTTAGCAATATGCACTACTTCTCAAATGTTTTTGGTCACTTGGAATTTTGCTCATCTTCCGTTGAGACATGGTCATGATGACATTTTCAAGATTTTATTTGAGCTTGTGAAAATATCTTTTGAATTTTGATTTCATTAGGAAAAGAAAACACACAATTTGCAGCAAATCCAGCTTGTCAGACCTTATTTGATTCAGCTTTCATTTATTTATGTGAAATTTAACTCCATGCTTACTCATCCATTTTTGGACTCACTTGATGGAGTCGCAAAAGGGTTCAGTTCTAGTATCTGGAGACTTTGTTGACTACTATACTTGCGGTCATTATCCTGCTGGCTTTACTCAAGAACCATCAGGCTATAACATGGCTTTAATCGGCCTTTATGTTTTAATTGATTTGGTTATTTTGTTTATTCATTTTAATTTATTTGTTTTTTTTTACCGTGTCCTGTCTGGCAGTGAAGCAAACAGAATTAATGTCTGAATGCTGGTGACAAGCCTTACAGATTTACTCTCAGGTGGAGCATTAAAGCTTCTGCTTTTAATGTCACCCCTGATATTTAAAACTTCATTGTTATTGTTTTTTTAATGTTTGTAATTCCGACCAGACACGGAGACAGAGGTGAAAGAGAAAGGAAGAGACAAAAGGGAGGGGGGGCGCAAAACAAACAATCAATGATGAACAAAAGTCTGCTTCACTCTGGTTCAAATTGAAAAGTCTGAACAGATGACATGTTGATGTCGCTGAACAGTCCCTACAGGGTCCCAAAGCCGGCCAGTGCAACTGAGGAACAACCATACGACGTCACTACCCAGAGTGCAGTGCGACGCTAACAACAATGGCGACCTACGAGTGAAACTATTTTTTACAAATTTTAAGAAAATGAAGCCATTAAGAAAGTTTTTTTTACACCATTTTAGTATAACTAATACTAACAATTATCTTTTAAGAACCACAAAGTTTTGTAACCTGGGTTCCTTTTAACACTCCTGACACACCCACACAAAATATGTCCAAAAATGTTTTGCATAGGCTACAGTGAAGAACACGAGTATTTGAACACTGTGCAATTTCAGAAGTTCTCCCCCTTAAAAATGATGGAGGGGTCTGAAATACACATGGCAGATGCATTCTCACTGTGAGAGACAAAATAAAGAAAAAATCAGGAAATCACATAGCTGAACATAAGTATTTGAACTCCTGAGTAAATCAGTGTTAATATTAGGTACAGAAGTCCTTTATTGCAATTAGAAGTCAAATGTTTTCTGTAGTTCTTGACCAGGTTTGCATAAACTGCAACAGGGATTTTGGCCCATCCCTCACAGATCTCCTCTAGATCTGGGCTGTTTGCTGAGCAACACGGTGTTTCAGCTCCACCACACTCCAAAGAATTGCTTTTGGATTTAGGTCTGGAAAATGGCTTGGCCACTCCAGAACCTTGATATGCTTCATAGAGAGCCACTCTGTAGTTATTCTGGCTCTGTGCTTTGGGTCAGACCCAGCTACAACCCATCTTCAATACCCTTACTGAGGGAAGGAGCTTGATGCTCAAAATCTCACACTGCATTGCCCCATTCAACCTCTCCCTAATACAGTGCAGTCGTCCTGTCCCTGTTAAGCACCCCCAAAGCATGATGTTTCCACCCCCATGCTTTACAGTAGGCAGAGGCGAACGGGTAATCTGTGACTTCTGGAGAATCTCAGAACGACCGGATCCCTCTTAGGCCGTTGCGCTTCAGGCTTGCGTCAGCATTTAGCATGTGAACGACTGCGTAGTGTTCTGAGTGACCTGTGAAACTGTGGTCTCAGCTCTCTTCATGTCATTGACCAGCTCCTCGAGTGTAGTTCTACGCTGATTCCCCACCTTTTTTACTCATCAGTTACACCCGACAAGGTGGGATCTTGCATGGAGCCTCTGTCGGTCGGAGACTGACAGTCATCTTTAGCCTTTTTCATTTTCTAACAATTATTCAAGCAGTTAATCTATTTTCACCAAGCTGCTTGGAAATTGTGCCGTAGCCTTTTCCATAGCCCTGTGGAGGTCCACAATTTTGTCCCTGGTGTATTTTTACAGCTCTTAGATCTTGCTAATGGTAGTTGTTGGAATTTGACTCTGTGGGATGGACAGGTGTCTATAAAAAGCTCAGACAGGTGCTGCTAATTCAGAATTATAAGTGGAGTAGAGGTGGACTTTTTAAAGGCAAAGTATACGTCTTTGGTAGCCAGAATTTATGATGATTGCCAGGTGTTCAAATACTTATTGGAAGCAGTGCAATACATAAAAACCGAGTGTCTATGTATGTCTGATCTCAGAATTGTGTGTACTGAAACTCTAATTTCCCTCTGGGATTAATAAAGTATTTTGAATAGAATTTGAATTTCTAATTAAACACTGTCTCTCTGCAGTGAGAATGCATCTACTATGTGAATTTCAGACCCTTCCATGAGTTCTAAGTTGGAGAACTTGCAGAATCTCAGGGTGTTTAAATAATTCTGTTCATCACTGTATTTGCCATTAGAAAAAAACTACATGCTTTCTCACAAAGTCACATTTCTTTATGCTGCATCTCAAAACTGTGAAGTGAGAAAATTAAATTGCACAAATGATAAAAGACACACAACTTTGCAATCAGCTCAGAGTTTTCTTATTCTTCCCAGGGTCGTGTTTCTGTGGACCACAAGCTACCATATGTTATTGAGGCAAATGATCCAGAGCAAGCAGACGGGACGAACTTCTCCTGGCAGAGGAGTTTTCCTCTGCTTCAAGCCTTGAGCAGCCCTGTCCATCAGTCCCGCCGCAGCACATTGGGGGAGGAGCTGCAACACCCTGAATCACTTCTCCGCTGCCGCTCACCTGCTCCGGGCAGCAGGGGTCGCAGCCCATCTCCTCATCCTTTCAACAAGAATGAGCTCTCTCCGTCTCCTCTGCTCAGTTTCAATAATGACTCAGACTTTATTCATCGACCTTCTAAATTACTGATTCCAGCCCTGCCTTGTGCTAGTCCCCTGAATCTGAGCCCTAGGTAACATTTTCACCCAATTATTTGTTTTATGTGCTGTTTAAAATGAAATTTGAAACAGGATTTATCTTTCTTCCTGCTTGTCAGAGTGGTGGATGGAATCGAGGACAATAGTCACACATTTCAGTACAATGTAGAGCAGGGTGAGATCAAGACTGATATACAAGGTAAACTCTTTAACAAGGTGAACATTTTTCATCTTAAACTATCAATTTATAAAAATTGATGGGCAAATCTGTAACTATATTTTTCCTGATTTTTGTTCTACTGTTTACTTTGCAAATGTCATTTGCTGTTTGACGTAATCCACAATGCCCAATGATTTATCGTATTTACCTTTTTCATCTTTATAGGCCAGCAGGTGAGCGCTGACCTGCTTCTTGAGACAGAAGAAGTGAGACAGAACATCAGTAAACTCAACAAGGAGGTATGGTTTAGGATATAAAGTCTAAAAACAATTAAAGCTGCAATGCCAAATCAGCTTCAAACATTTTCTTCATGCTTTCCCAACAACATTCAACAACAAAATAAATAAATAATGAAGTGGTTCTGCTGCCTCTTTAAACACTTTTTTTAATCAGGGTTTGGTTTGGGAATTATGTGCCTAAGATATTGGTGACAAAATGGAAAATTTTAAACATATGGAGGATTAAAATGATAAAATACCCACACTTGTACTTGACTCCAAAGCGCTTTACACTACATTGTATCATTCCTCCCTTCCCACACTGATGGTGATGAGCTGTGTAGCCATAGCTGCCCTGAGGCTCACTGACATAGTCGAGGCTGTCAAGCACAGGGGCCACAGGGATTGATCCTACAATCCTCCGATTACCGGAAAACCCGCTCTATCTCCTGAGCTACTGCTGCCCCCAAATGCCAAACCTGTGACTGGAGGGTTACAAGTTGGAGCCCCGCTGTCTTTTTTTTTTTTTTTTTTGCTGCATGAAGGACATGTAGGACAGGCCCGTCCACAGCCGCCCACTCCAGGGTCGGCCGAACTCGCGTCCTTGAGCAAGACATTTCACTCACTTGCCAGCCAGACCTCTGGCACCTGTGCTAAGCAACCTGGATTCCACCAGTGTGTCCCTGGGCTGTTTGCAAAATGCAAGGACATGCAGCAGCCCCAAAAGAAACTTACTTCGTTTGTCATGTACTCTGCCATTTTTGATTAACTTACCTTGCTGTTCCTGCAGAAAACTGTACCTTGAAGCCATGCATTTGTGTTTATGGAAAGATGTGTCTTTGTGAATTTGAATGACTGAAATGCTAGCTGTTACCATTTAATTACATTAAGCTGAAGCCAACTGAGTACTGATGGATCATCAGGAGCGTGTGTGCAAAAAGTTTTTGAGCGGCCAGGTAGCACACAAGTTTGAGCAAGGGTGGCACAGGTAAACAGTCCATAACCTTAAAAATAATTATATATATATTTTTAAAAATTACAAAGTGTCAATCATAATGTAATGAGCTACTATAAACTAAAATAAAGTCAAAGCGCAATACCAATGGTGCAATGTTATTAATAATTATGTATGACGTTTTTCTAATTAATGATATTAAAACTGGGATATTCTCTGACATTGTAAAGTCAGGATATTTCTGAAAAGAAACTGAAGTACAGGGCAGTCAGAAGCGCTAAAAAACTTCACTGGATGGAGTAGATTTTATGTTCAGCATTCTAGTGCATTTAAATTGTAATTATTTTAATGTTTTTCAGCTAGCAAATGAAACAAGTGAGACTTAAAACCTAAAAAATATCAGTGAAATTACATCACATCGACTTGTAAGTCGCTTTGGACAAAAGCGTCTGCTAAATACATAAACATAAACATCAAAATCAACAAAAAAAGTGAAATGAAATAACTGGTTTGTTAATTTGTTTGAACCCAATGGTCTCATTATCTGAAATTCAGACATAATTGTCACAAATATACATTCAGCACACATATTATACACCGAGGAAAAAACATCACGTATGTCGTTTACGTCAAATATTACCGTGTTTGACACGTGTGACCAGAGTACAAGCTGTTAAAATATATAGTCAAATCAATAAAGTGTTTCATTTTACATATGTATTATGTTAGCAGCTGTAAGGCAGTTTAAGGCTTTTTTAACATATTCATAAAGAGGACAGCATGTTAATTATGTGTCCATCTCAGACAAGAGCTGATAAATAATTATACGTATTAATAATGCTGACATCAGGAACAACATCAGTGGAAAGAAACACTCCTGACTGCAACTGAAGATTAAATACAAAAAATGCTAAGATGGAAATCCAGTCGCTCAATTTTACAAGTGTAAACTCCACATTTATTAATAATTTAGTCATTAAGAACAAAGCTGCAGGTGCTGCTACCGCTGTGGGCCAGTGGTGTCGCTAATTCACCACCGCGTAGCTGCCAGCCACCGACACGAATAAAGTGGCGTCACTTGCCTTGTCCAATCATATTCACAAAGCGTCAGTAAGCCTAGCTGCTAGCCTGCCACGACGCAGGTTTGCTCTCCAGCATGAATTACCATGGTGAATGGGAGGGGCTTCAGGCTAGCCACATTGGTAGAACCGATTTAGGGGCAGTTACACCGGCAATCTCAAAAGAAAGCATGGTTTTGGGAAAATCTCACTTTCTGGATTACCCCCCCCCCCCCCCTCCCCTCCCCTGTTCTCTAAGCTAATCAGTAAAACATTTAAGAAACCATGGAAATCCCACTGACTAGTGTCAGTGTCTTTACAGCAATCCTCATACTAAGCAAGCATGTAGCAACGGTGGAGAGGAAAACTCCCTTTTAACAGGAAGAAACCTCCAGAGGATCCTGGCTCAGTATAGGAGGATCTTTTGTGATGCCAGTGCTTTTGTTTCTTGCATTGCATCACTGTAGTGTGTGGCAAGAAACAACACATTTAGCCTATAATTCAGTTGTTTTGCACGTTTGGAGGAGGATTCAGCAAAGCAGATGGATCATTCTTGCTGTGTGGTTGATAGTTCGGCCCATGGGAGGCTTGAAAAAAGTTTTATTGGAATTTCCTCCGTAAACGACCTCCAGCCACTCACGCATGCAGACAAAGTTGAAAAAAAGAAGAAAGACAGACAGACAGACACTAGTGTTTCTATGACTACATTGTGATTTCTTAGTAGGTATTCTTTTAAGTAAGATATAAACTTTATTGTCTTTATCTTAGTGAATCTGTAACTAATTCAACAGGTGAACTAGTACCAACATCAGCTGAGCATTTATAATGCAAATAAAATAAATATGAGGAATGAACAAAAATGAGATATCAGGACTTTTATTTAATGACCTTAAAGAACTAATGCACAGAATCACATGTTTTCTCTCTTCTCAGGTGAACAGTTTACATGAAGATGTGTCTAACATGTCCAAAGAGCTCCATGATGTAATGCATTGCCTCCAGTCTCATATGACCACGCTGAATCACATGTCTTCTACATCCTGCAGCAACTGGCAGCATCATGCTCCTTTGAATCCATTAAGTGAATTGCACCTCCACCATGAAACTATAAGTCACCCTGCAAGAAGCATGTGCAGCTGCAGCAGGTTGCCTTTACACGGCAGAGGCTCTACCTTGCTACACACGTCAAGCTCTGCATGTTTAAACCTATGCTGTTCAAACAGAGAAGGACTTACTGCTAACAAGCTTCAGAGTACCTGTCAGACTCCTGGACTAAATCCAAGCTCCCCTTATAGGATCCACGATTCTACCCAGGGCGGTCCTTCTCTCCTGGGTATCAGTTCAGACTTCACTAGTTTCCCAATAAATTGTGGTCACTCCTATCCATCAGTCAGTGTTCACATCAACTCTGATGTTGAACCAAATTCGACCAAACAGCAGACACCAATTCATTCCTCCATCCCTTCAGGCCAGCCTCAGTATCACACCGCCTTCCGCTCTCTGTCACCCTCAGGAGTTTTCACTTCACTGTCCACATTACATGAAAAGAGCCAACAGAGTTCTGTGAGACTAAATGAACCAATAGGATCTAGCCCAGTTCACCACCCACAGGAGAGTGTGGGCTGTCTGCTGGAGCAGCTGTCAGACAGAGACTGTGGCGATCCACTCCACCCTGAGAGAAAAGACAACTTTGAATGTGATTAATGAATTTAAATGGAGCTCTTGTGTTGCAACATTGCAAACATCATGTTATTGTACTACTGCATGGAAATTATATGTGAAAGCTTTTGTATATGTCTTTCTTGATGAAGGTCTATTACTCTGCTGATTCGAGATAAGCATGTCGTCATGTTTTCTTTGTAATGAGATTTGAGCTTTTTGGCTCACATTTTGAACCAAACTTGAGCAATCTAGATCAGTACTTTTCAAGCATTCAGCACAATTTTCATTTTAATATTAATCACAAGAAATACAAACACATTTACTTGCTTAATTTATCAGATAAAGGTATGGTGTCGCCCCCAGGTGGTTATACAAAAGAATGCACGCCTTACATCTGATTAAAACACACACCAAAATAGTGAACAATCTTGGAGATATTGTAAACTGTGGTTAAAATGTATAGCACAATAAAGTGTTTCATGGTTCTCATCCAATATATGCTTTATGCTATTAGACAAGTGTAGGTTTTAGTCTCCTTATTTAAATTTAATGAACCATAAAAACATAACTTATTTAAACTCTGAACATGCAGAATTATGGGAACTACAGTCATCATTAGCAACGTTTACATGTGCCAAATTTCCCCAATCCAATTAAATATGTGCATGCAAACATGGCTATTGATCAAAGAGCATTTATTTGCCGAGTCATGCTGGGAAGGGATGGTAAATGGTCTGGATTTGTATAGCATCTTTTAGGAAGCTCTACAGGGTTCTGCTTTGGCAGTGAGTGATGTCACTGATCAGCCCCAAAAAGCACCCAAAGTAATATTAATAATATTAAAAGCATTTATTTAATAGAAGTATGTCATAATTTAATCCATTCAGAAGACAAGAGCAGCTCTGAGTTTTGTGAGACAAACCCTGTTAATTAAGTCTGTGGGGGAATTCCGAGTTTTCTGGTGTCGGGAGTTATCTAAATGTGATCTGTGCTTTTTTTTTTTTTGCTTCCATTCTGCTTCACCAGCTACTCTTCTAAATTTACTGCTGCCAGTTGTTTCGGACGTCTGCTGATGCCATTTCCTACTGAGTTACAACCAATCAGTGTGAGTTAACTGGAGGTTCCGCTCAGCTACTCCACCGGGCCGTTCGGAGTACCCAGTGGCAGTTTTAGCATTAAGCATAGGTCTGCAGGCACTTGGGGCCCCCTTGTGTTGGGGGGCCCCCTAGCCATGACCGCCGGCACCCCTCTGTTAATGCTACAATATTATTACCAACCTGTTGGCGCAGATGGGATTGGACATGCACACTTCTCATTGCCATAATTCCTGAACAGTTCAAGAAATCATTAAAATTCCAAAAGTGCTGAAAAGATTAAAATTGGGGTTTCTCGTGCTTATACAATACATTACGGTAGCCACCGGGATTCCCTGTCTTGAGCACAACGAAGCACAACACTGATTCAGAGACGTGCTGAATTTGTCATCCAAAATGCTCCGTTTTATAACTTTTGAATGGCTGATCAGATTCAAAAAAATTCCAATGGTTCCTAAATGTACATAAAAGCAGCTTTCCAGCGATCTATAGCATGAAGCAATCAGAGTTATGGAAAATATCACCACGAGGGAAAATCCTGCTGTACAGCCTGATTGAAACGGAGCGCCACGGTGAAAGCGGATAACGGAACGGGGAAGCTAATTAGCATAAAAAGCCGGCATGAAATTATGGAAATACCTAAAAAAAAAATAACACGATCTATTAGGTGTCCCAGAAGGCTTATATCTTAAGACAGTGACCACGAAGAAGGACTGATCTCCAGTGAACCAGCATGAATGTTTGTTCAGTCTTTATTTTTTATTTGAACAACCCTCAACTATCTGCCAATTGTAAGATTCAGCTTCATTCCAGCATTATTTATCATTTTACAATAAATAATTATTTTTGCTAAAACAAAAGTTTTTGGTATAGCAGTGCACGGTGTGCCAGAGAAGCACCCCATGGCAGTGTGAGGTGTGCAGCACTCTGCCTGCAGCTGGAGAGAAACTGCTTCAAGGCCTACCACATCAAATAAAAATGTCTGAAAGTTTACAGGAATAAATGGTCTTAAAAACTGCTAAAAAAGATACCAAGGTTCAAACTTTTTTTAAGAATAGATGCATTACAGTTCAAAGTTTAAATTGCTCATTCCAAATTGTTTGCCCAGCAATTTTGAAGTTCCTGTTCAGTAATAAATTGTCACGAACAGAACTAGGAAGACCCGTGAAGACGCCAAACACAATGAGAGTAAAATTAAAAGTCTTTATTAGGAGGCAGAGTTACTAGAGTTGGGCGAGGCTCGAGACCGAGTCGGAGAGGAGGCGAGGGTCAAAACCAGATCGGACATACAGATACGGGGAACAGGCAAGAGGCGAGGTTGAGGACAGGCGAAGGTCGTGGAGGCAGGCAGAGTTCAAGGCAGGGGTCAGGAGAAAAACGAGGTCCGGAGGCAGAGATCAGGCAGGGTGGATGGCTGGAGAATTTACTGGCACAAAGTTTTCAATAATCTGGCAGAGACTGGGTAGCTGAATGGATCTTTTATAGCAGGGAAAGCAGGTGTGTGAGATGAGCTGCAGGAGTCAGGAGCAGGTGAAGTGGATGAAGCTGATTACAGGAACAGGTGAGATGAATGGAGTTGATGGTGGTTGCCAGGATAACAGGGCTTGTCAAGAGCTTAGTGAGGGGACCAGGTGAGCTGAATGAAGGCTGAAAAATGAGAGTCATGACATAAATGTAAAAAATTCAAATCCGTTTTTTTTGTATTGCTTTTTTCACTATTAAGCTGATTTTTTAAAGGCTTTAACAGAAATAAATTCTAAATACAAACCATACACTGAAAGCTGAGGTTGTTCTGAAAAAAGGAGAAGAGTTACACACACTTTGCACTTTTTATTACAATTTTACAGCCATAAGATTAAAAAATACCAGGCGGCCCTGTTATAATTATGGTCATTAGAGGGTTATTAAGACGGCAATGCACAAACAGGAAGTGATTGGTAGTCATTCCACTCCAATCCAGTTGTTGGCAGTAATGCACAAAACTATTGTTTGCCAAGTGCCATTAGACCACAAATAATAATAAGAAGAGAGGCGGGAGCGTTCGTAACAAACTCAAAGCGATAGTCAAAACATTAAGCATGAAATGGAGTTGTCCTAGTGGCTCCAATAAGAGAAAGAAGCAGCTTGCTTCATAAAAGCTTTTATTTTCACTTCTGAAAGTGACGTCGTTTTTCGATGTTAACATCAAAAGGAAGCAGAAAGGAAAGACAATGGAAAATGTTTGAAGGGAGGAAAACATAGACCAAAATGGAAAATAGGAAAAAATAACTAAGGCAAAAGCACAGGAACACCGACAGGAAAAAGAAAGCAGAGCAAATATTGAAAGCACTCAAAGGGAGAAAAATATAGGAAAAAAAGAGGAGGACTAATAAAAAGGGAAAATAACTCATGTCAGAAGAGGGGAGAGTTTCGCAAATCCAGTTAAAGGTAAGATTGTCAAAAATTTAGTGTAGTACCAATGTTTGTGTTCGCCTTGGGCCCCCAAATTTGCTCAATCCGCCACTGGGAGTACCGACTCCAGAGCAGGTACTCAGAAGGTTCCTGAAAACAGGCCCCAAAAACGGTCGGTCGGGAGGTTCCTGTAAATCTACCCTGAAATTCTTGTTGTGAAAACAAGCCTAACATCACCATCATCTCAGTTCATGGTTCTACGCCCACATCTCCATAATTATATGGCTTTTTTAACCCATCTTTTATATTTCTGTTGTTCGTGGTTAGGAGCCTTGTTCTGTCCCTGTCCCTTACATGGTTTTCCCTTGTGCAGCTGATTTATTGATTGTATTTCCTGCTCCCTATCTTTTGTGTGTCTTCGGCTTGTTTCTCTCTCACACTCTTTTCTATGTTTTTTTTCTTCGTTTATTTCATTCAAAATAAAAACAAAAAAAACATATAAACAATATGATATGTATAACAAAAAAATCTAATTTGAACAAAAAGGAGCAGAATGAAGAAAAACATCGTATAATTTCTGCCCCCTTTTCCAGTAGAAATAATCAATTTATATACAATTACCATTTGTCAGACTGTTCATCACTTTTATGGACAGAATTTCTAGACGCAGCCGTGGTGTGGAGTGTGTCGAGTTTGGTGGCAGGAGAATCTCGTCTCTGCTTTTTGCGGATGATGTGGTCCTCCTAGCTTCATCCAGCTCTGACCTTCAGCTCTTGCTGGGTAGGTTCACGGCCGAATGTGAAGCGGCTGGGATGAGGATCAGCACCTCCAAATCTGAGACCATGGTTCTCGACCGGAAAAGGGTGGCTTGCCACCTCCGGGTCGGGGGAGAGGTCCTACCTCAAGTGGAGGAGTTTAAGTATCTCGGGGTCTTATTCACGAGTGAGGGTAGGAGGGATCGGGAGATCAACAGGCGGATTGGTTTGGCGTCTGCAGTGATGCGGACGCTGAGCCGATCTGTCGTGGGGAAGAGGGAGCTGAGCCAGAAAGCCAGGCTCTCGATTTACCGGTCCATCTACGTCCCAATCCTCACCTATGGTCATGAGCTTTGGGTAATGACCGAAAGAACGAGATCGCGGATACAAGCGGCCGAAATGAGTTTCCTCCGTAGGGTGGCCGCCTCAGCCTTAGAGATAGGGTGAGGAGCTCGGACATTCGGGAGGGACTCGGAGTAGAACCGCTGCTCCTCCGGATCGAAAGGAGCCAGTTGAGGTGGTTTGGGCATCAGGTCAGGATGCCTCCTGGACACCTCCCTGGGGAGATGTTTCGGGCATGTCCTGCCGGCAGAAGGCCCCCGGGTCGACCCAGGACACGTTGGAGAGGTTACATCTCCAATCTGGTCCGGGAACGCCTTGGGGTCCTGCCGGAGGAGCTGGTGGACAAGGCCGGGGAGAGGACGGCCTGGAGCTCCCTAGTTGGGATGCTGCCCCCGCGACCCGGACCCGGATAAGCGGAGGAAGACGACGACGACGACGATTTGTCAGACACACATACAGATTCATTTTAAACTTTTTCCTGTTTTTAATTCCAAAGTGATCATGATCATTGATTTAATTTACATTTTCATAATTATTTAGTACACTTAGTTTGGTACGTTTTTTTTAATATTTTAAATGACAGTTTTTTAAATTTCCCTTTTAAGGTTATTCCATAATTTAACACCATTTACAGATATATTCCACTCCTTAATTTTAGTTCTAAATCTAGGTTTTGGAAACACATCAGTTTCTTTCAGCATGTAATTACTAGTTCTCTTTTCAAATATCCCCTGAATGTTTGTTGACAGAGTACCTAAATTGGCTTTATACATGGTTTGTATGATTTTCCAGTCTTTTAAATCATGAAATTTCAGTAATTTATATTTAATAAACAATGGGTTCGATGGATCTGTACAGCCACTATAATTGATGATTCTCAGAGCTCTTTTCTGTAAAATAAATAAAGGTTGTCTATAGTTTTTGTATGTTGCTCCCCAGATTTCTACACAATAAGTCAAGTATGGAACAATCAGTGAATTGTACAATGCCAACAAACCAGAATTAGTCAGTGAAAACTTGACTCTATGTAATACTCCTAAAGATTTGGCTATTTTACCTTTTTTGTAACTAATATGGGATTTCCATGACAAGTCTTCATCAATAAGAACTCCAAGAAATTTAGTTTCTTTTACTCTTTGAATTGCAATCCCATCTATTTCCAATGACACATCACTGTTCTTTCTATCATTAAACAGTATAAAATGTGTTTTATTAAGATTCAGAGTCAATCTATTTATATCAAACCAGTTTTTAATTTTAATCAGTTCATCATTTGTCACAGCCTGTGCAGTGGCGCAGTGGTTAGAGCTGTTGCCTTGTAGCAAGAAGGTCCTGGGTTCACTTCCCAGCCTGGGATCTTTCTGCATGGAGTTTGCATGTTCTCCCTGTGCATGCGTGGGT